TTCGGCCAGACTGGCCTGGATCATTTTGCAGTGTCCCTCGACCTTGATGTGCGGCTTGCCTTCAGCTCGTGCCAGCGTGCACATAAGCTCTCCTTTGACTCTGCACGGCTGCTGCGCCCTGAATCCCAGCCAAAGGTTCAGAGCATTTGTGATTCGGTTCCAACTGTCCCATGGGCAACAGATGATGCACACACACACACACACACACACTATCAAGTTGTTGCAGACCACCTTGTTGCAGGGTTTGCTGCAGCTTTTCCTCGCCAACGGTCCATTTGCAAACGCTCCTTCTTCTCCGACTCCACCTGGTCTCTAAGGAAACAAAGGCTGTGGTGGCGGAAGCGGGCACACATCGGTAGCTCCAGGGTTGCTGACTGGGAGGTTCGCGGAGCCTTTCTCGCATGGAGACATGCTGATATCTGGACTGTAGCTCTAGTGCGTAGCTTGGCCAGCACTATTGCCAATATTGCACAATTGGCGACAGCCGTCAAGGAGCTCCGTTCCATCAAACCTGCCTTCCGTCGCTCCATCTGTGAAGACAGAAGGCAACATGTCGCTGCCGTTGCCAATGAAACCTGCCGACTGCCCACCAGAGATGTGGTAGCCAAACTTCGCCCCCTTGTAGGCCCTCCGAAGCGCAAGCAGAGGGGCACTGTCCCGTTACCAGCTGTTCTGCGAGAGAATGGGGAGCTCGCTGCTTCCGCGCGAGAGGCTGATGCCCGCTGGCTGCGCCATTTTAGCTCGATTGAGCACGGTGGTCCTGTCACAGCGCAGGACATGGTGCAGAGCTGCCTTCGAAGACAGCAAGCTGCCGATCTTACTGATCTTGAGATCTCACTGCAAGATCTCCCTACCAGATGCGACCTAGAGTATGCCATGAGGCAGGCTTGCAGTGGGCGCTCTGCAGGCAATGACTGCCTTCCTGCTGAGGTTTGGAAGGTGCAAGCGGCAACTTTGTCAGCGGTTCTGTACCCCATCCTTTTGAAGGTAGCGTTTAGGCTCACCGAACCTTTGCAGTTCAAAGGAGGTACCATGCACAGGATTTGGAAATGCAAGGGCCCTTTGCAACAGTGTGCAAGCTACCGTGGAATTTTGGTCTCCAGCGCTGCAGGAAAGAGCATACACGGCGCATTCCGCCAAAAATGCAGCGGCTGGTTTGACCAGCTCGCGTCGCCCCTACAAGTTGGAGGCAGACGAGGCTTTCCGGTTCAGCTTGCTGCGCATGCCGCTCGCGCCTTTCAACATGCTTCCCTTGCCAAAGGGAAAAGTGTCGCCCTGATATTTCTCGACCTCCGTGAGGCCTTCCATCGTGTCGCCAGGCCCCTTGTGCATGGCGGACAGCTTGATGATGAACACCTGGCGTATGTGCTGTCTGCCTTTGGCATTCCTCCCAGCGGTGTCCAAGCTCTCCACGAGTACACTAGGCAGGCTGCCATTGTTAGAGATGCCGGAGCATCGCCTTGGGCAGCTGCTGTCTTGCAGGAATTTCAGACTAGTACTTGGTTCAATATCCAAGACCATCTTGCTGAGGTTCATGCGGGGACACGACCGGGCGACTCCCTGGCTGACGTCGTTTTCTCCTTCCTCTTCGCTGCCGTTCTTGAGAGGCTTCGTACTGCCATTCTTGCAGCTGGTCTCTCAGTTCACCTACCATGGGATGGCAATTGGGCAGGCGTTCTGTCCCGCGAACAGTCGCCAGCCACTGGTACGATCGCCCCCTTGGATGTGTCGTGGATGGATGATCTTGTCCTCCTTTTGTGGTCACACGATGCGGAACAGCTGACAGCAGATGTTGCCACTGCCACTGAGCTCCTGCTCGATGAATGTGTCAAAGCCTTGCTACACCCTAATCTTGACCCGGGTGAGACCGAGGCTGTCCTGTCGTTAGTTGGAAAGGGATCCCGACGACTGCGGACCAAGCTCTTCAAGGGTCGTGATCCCACGGTCGAGCTCCATCCAAAGGTTCACCCGCCTGCTTCCCTTCGTCTCGTGCCTCGTTACCGCCACCTTGGCGGTATCATTCACTGGAAGGGATCGCTCCGTTTTGAGGTCAAAGCACGCATCGGACAAGCTTGGCATGCTTTTCGCAAACATCGACGTGCAGTTTTCGCTTCTCCGATAGTGTCACATCGTGAGAAAGCATTACTGTTTCAGTCGCTTGTTTCCTCTACTTTGTTCTTCGGTGCGGGAACCTGGACACCTGATGATGATGCTGACCTTGATCCGCTTCGAGGTGCTCTTCAGGCGATGGCTAGGCAAATGTTGCGTCCGACGCTTGACCGTGACTCGGCAATGCACCTTGGGGCGGGTAGGGTTCTGGCTACCGCCAGACTTCCCACAGTAGCGACTGAGATACATGCGGCTAGACTCCGGCACCTTTCGACTGTTGTCCAACGTGCGCCTGATGCTTTCTGGGCGATCCTTCATTATGATGCTAGGTGGCTTGGACTTGCCGAGGGTTCTGTTGAATGGCTCAGGGCCAGATTCGTTGCCTCCGGTCGGCAACCCCAGGAGCTGCATGAATGGTCTGCCATCAGACAGGCTATATGCGCTCAGCCTCAAGCATGGAAACGTTGGATTTCACAGGCCGTGTGTTTTGCGCGCCTTGAAGAACATTGGGGCGCTGAAGTTGCGCATTATCATGGCTTGCTCCTGCGTTCTCTGCTTTCTTGGGGGGCCCACCCCATTGACAGTCTTCTTACCATTGTTGGTCAGAGCGAGGTATGTGCTGTCTGTCAACGTTCCTTTCCTAACTTGCGCTGCTGGAGTCACCATGCGTTCAAGTGCCATGGGCGAGTTAGGGAAGAGAGGTTATACGCACAGGGCACACAATGTGGGGTATGCTTGCGTCACTTTGCCTCGAACTTCAGGCTCTGCAATCACCTTCGACACTCTACTGACTGTCTTGCGCAACTTACTGCTGCAGGGGATGTCGGTGATATCCAGCCTGGCAAGGGCAGCAAGTTTGTCTCAGGTGATGACCAGTTGTGTCCGGCTGTCGCAGCGGCTGGTCCTGCCAAGGCTCGCATTGCTGCCCGTGCTGTTCCCGAACCTCACAGGCCCAGTGCTGTGATTCTTGCTGGCCTAGAGGACCTGTATGCCCACGTTCAGCCTGCACTTGATTTCCGGAGTCTGTTGTCTGAGTACCGTGCAATCTTCCTCCTTGAATGCCTGCAGAACACACGCCTCAGAGCGACAGCCACTCAGCGGCGTGAGTGCCTATCTGAAGAGCTTGACCGCTGTGACGACGTCCCCATTGTATGGGCGACGTGGCATACCAGGATCTCCGACTTTCTGTGTAAAGTTGACTTCTCGGCATGGCTGATTCCTGAGCCGACCCAGCCTTCGCCATCCGTTGCCACATTTCGTGATGCGGCGACGACTCTTCCGTGGCTGTCTCTTGAACATGTCACCTTTGCCACGGTTGAAAGAGGTAGCTCCGACCTCTGGATGTGCAGCCGGAATACCGACCGTGCTGTCATTCCTGGCTTTACAGTCGAGAAGATTGTCACCTTCGACTCATGCTTTCAAGAACCATCTTTGCTCGCTTGGGACTCCTGGTGTGCCTCTGATGCACTACCGGTTCGAGGCTTTTGCTTGCAGGGTCTCCTTTCTTCGCTCGACTATCCTTCACCAGTGCGCTCATTCCACCAGCTTCGTCCTCACCTCCATCGTCTCCGGCTGTTTGCTGATGTTGTCCGGGGGGTGTTGCGAATGTGGTCGACCGGTAAGCCTGCCTTCCTGTTTTCGCCTGCGATCCCTGGTCCTGGATTTGCGGTGGCCTGCAAGGTTGCTCCGGTACGCGCTGACGGTAAGGATTTTGTCCTGCTTGCCAATTTTCAGGGCGTTGCGGAGCACATCACTTGTTTCACACCATAGGCTACGTCCGACCTGGACTTCGCGCCTCCGAAAGCGAAAGCGATGTAAGCAAGTATGTAACTCGTGCTTATGTGCAAGAGTGCAGGAGTGTTAAAGTATATACAATGCGTACACTGCATACAGTACGTACATCCATTCAGCCATCCAGCATGCTTGCCATGCGCGCACGTGTGCACGCATGCGTGATTGCATACATGCGTACACAGGGGTTGACGCATGTGCAATGATACACACATGCATGCGCGAGGCATACCGATTCCCCAATACTTGGACGGTATTTGAGGCCAGTTTGAGCCCGGCCTCGTTCGGGCTTCAAACATTTACCAGTTTAGGGTTTATGGGGGTTTCCGGTGTAGGGTTTAGGGTTTGCGGTTTGGGTTTGAAGGGGTTTCCTGAAAAAGCCAACCTACACATTTCGAGAATCTCCCGCAGATTCCTCAGAAGACCGCTTATGGTGAACATGGTTCCATGAACATCCCAGGAACATCCCATCACCCCATGCATACATACATGCATGCATACATGCATACATGCATACATTCGTACACACACACATGCATGCATTCATGCATGCACGCATGCACATGTTCTTGGAGAATCTCGGTGTCAGAGAACACGCCAAGATGCAACGGGCACGGAATGTTCAGATTGGAATACCAGAGTGTGCACTGCTAGAGCTATTTGCAGAACAAGATGTGCTTCAAGTCAACGAGTCCATCCACAGTTGCCCAGCATGTACTGATGCTACCATGAGGCAAGGATAATGCTACCACGCACAAATCCAAGTCATGCCTAGACGACCGGGCGAGACAACTAGACCCTGTAGGGAAGCACTGCTTGGATATGTGAGTGCTAGCACGTGCTGAAGTTGGTGAGGACAATTTTGGCTATGTGCTTTGCCGCATGCTGCATGTGAGAAGACCAAGCAAAGAAGCAGTCCAGTTTGGATGCGGTTGAGGAGGGAATAAAGCAGCGAATACAGTTCATCCTGTATCATCTGCTGCGCCACATCTTGCCCAAAACCCTCATCTAGCATTCGCATCAGTACGCCATGCTGGAAGCATCTTGACCCCCCACTTCTGGACCTCAGAAGAGTCACAAGGGTGCCAAGCTCCTCTGAGGTTGGCAGTCCCAAGGCGGCGGGCAGCTGAGTCGAATCGCAGGGCTGTTGCGTGCTTTCTCACGTCTCGCGTTGCTGGCGATGGCGACAACATGTCATGCTTTCTGGCCCAGGCAGCTTCCGACATGGTGGCCAGCTGGACTCGACCCCAGACAGCGTTTGCAGTGGAGTTCACACTCTGAATCAGCTCCATCCCATCCCAGGGTGCGCGTATCGGCGGCAGAGTTCTGAGGCCCTGCGCCTCACCCTGGACAAACACCCCTGCTGGAAGCAACTGGGCAAAACTGCTAAGCATTAATTGTAGGATTGCCTGTGGGCCAGTGGTTGAGTGCTTAGGATTCATGCATTGTGTTTCCGACACTTGCCGCGGGCCAGCCCACAAAGGCACTGCCACATGGGTGGTCAAGCTTAGGTCCTCGAAACAGCGACGCTGACCCGGGCAGCCCCAGCCCGAATCTTAGATGCTGGCCTTTGCCGGAGATGTGAATGAGACTGAAATTGAACGATTCGATAATCCCCACCTCGTACCTGTTTCTCCCATGAAGAATGCTGCAGTTTCTGTGACAGCCCGCAGCAACCACCACGGAACTTCAGGGCCGCATTGGACCGGGTCCCAAGGATCCAAATCAGGAGAGCATCAGCACTGTGCCCCCCTCCTCCCTATGATGTTTGAGCTGGAGTAACGCGGAAGGCAGAGCACCGTGGCCGGTGACCGCCTCGCAGGCCACATGGGCGGAATCCCCTGGGAGCGAATAACTGATAAGACTGGTTGATGATGCAGGGGTTCAGGCAAGACGAGGGCAAAGCTTTCAGCACCGTGGCAGGGCATTTTTCGACCCTGCAGGCTCCGAGCTGGCCTGCAGAGGAGCGGAGCAAAGGTGCGGTTTTTAGGAGCAGAATGCACTGCACACTTGTGGTTTCATGCAGATGGCGAGTTGCTTTCGGATGCACTTGTTTCTCTTTGCACTTGCTCGCCAGCTCCGGCGCCGCCACCGGACCCCTGGAGCTCTGTGCTCTCACCTGAGGGCTCGCCCAAGGCAGGAGTTGACCCGAGAGAGGAGAGAGCCACTTGCGGCACTTGGCAAATCCTGGAAAGGCATCCCGACACGGCCAAAAGTCTGGCACCCAGGAAGCTGACCATCTTGTGTCTTAGTCTTGTTCGCAAATCGATGTGCATTCGCAAGCGGCTGACAGCACGCCCTTTTGGCAGTCTGGACTTGATGCTGTCACTCTCTCTTTCTCTCTTTCTCTCTCTCTCTCTCGGTCTCTTCTCTCTCCCTGCATGTGCTCCCGCATATCCTGAGGCCGGCTTTCGCATGGGCAGCTTTCGACTGAGTTTGCGTTTGAACCCTGCGCCCGCTCAGACCTCGAATGCATCCCCCAATTCCCCTATTTCATCTCCACCTGCTTTGCAAGCCGAAGCCGATGCTCCCCACTTTGGGGCCAAGCTGTCGAAGTCGAAGTTCTTACTTGATGGGCACGCGGTGATTCACGCGCGAAGGGAAGAGGCCGGCACCCAAGAGCCGGCTCACGCAGTCTGAGTCTAATGTTGACGTGGAGACGAGCGAAAACGGCTTCAGTCCTCAAGACTCTCTTGAATCAAGACCTGGCGGCAAGAACCTGTCTTGTGACGCTGAACCGCAGGACTGCAGTCATCCAGCGAGGCAGCTAGAGCTCTCTCAACCATAGCTTGTCACAGGCTTCGTGCTCACCCTATCAGCTTCCATGGTCTTGAGGAGTGGCAGGTATGAAGTTCATAAACAGAGAGGCAACCTTGAGACTCTGAATCTCTCGCGGGAGCGGCGGCGCGATGCCAGCCGTGCGGTCCTTCCACCAAGACGCTGCGGGTGCTGCTAGAGTCCGAGCCCAAGCTGAGCAGCAGCCACGCGCATGTGAAGGGCCGCGGGGTCTGTCGCGACTTTGAGTGCCGATCTGTTCTTTGGCATGCAGTTGACTGGCGGCATGCTGCCGCCACGATGCATCGACCATGCCCATGCTTGTAGATAAGGTCTCAGACAGTACTGCAGAACCTGCAGAGCGCACAGCAGACGAGGCCTGTTTCTTTTCTTTTGTGCCCCCTGAGTTGTGATGTCGCCGTCAGTCATCAAGTCCTCCGTAGGCATCTAGCGTTGCTTATGCAGTTTCCTGTGCAGAGCTCGCACACTTTGGCTAAGCGGTTAAGTTGCTCTTTGTTTGCCTTGTGCAGCATTCTCTCAGCATACCGGCGCATTTCGCACCCTCAGGGTGTGAGGGGTTCATCGAGAACAATGTTGGAAGTCTTTGTGTGACCTGATGAAGGAACAGCCCGAGGGAATGGAGCCAAGGTCAGAGTTGTTTCTTATGTTTCGTGTTCCCGTGGTGCGGTTGAGGCCGAGCTGCTGTTGCTGCGAGGCAACATCCCCCTGGTTTCACGTTTTCTGCAGGATGCAGCAGTATGCTAACGTTTGCCAGTTCATGCAACCGAGCTGAGAAGTTTCTGCAACATGTGCTCGCTCGAGCAGTTTGTGTCCTTACAGTAGAGGCGAGTGCAGCGAGGCACAGCCCAGAGCCCGGAGCTCGTCCAAATTCGGGGTGGAGGAGTTAGTTTGGGCACTGCGTGTGACATCCCATCACCCACTCTGGCGCAATAGGTAGCAATGCCTAGATGCCGTTACATCTGACAACCGCCCTTCAGCACACCTCAAGTTTGTGACCACTTGGCTTGGCACATGCAGGAATTCTCAGCCACCTGCTGTCCGTGTTTTCTGAGGCAGTTCCTGCTTTGCGCTGGTGTTCTGCGGCAGCGGTGCTAGTGGTGGTGGCTGCCGGGGGCCCCTATGGGCAGGCTGGCCGTTCTTTAAAAGCAAGCTCTTGTATACGGCTTCAGACTCGGTGCCGCAGCTTGACCCCTTGTTTCCTGAACACGACGAGCGCTTTTTGGCAGCGCTTTTGCAGAGTCGGAGTTTTTTTATAGGTGATTGGGTTGATGCTTTGCTGCATGCCCAGGTCGTGTGCTTCGCCGTCGGCCCCGCATCAAGGCGGTTGAGGGCTAGCGTCGTTGCATCGACAGCGTTGTTCGGCATAGCCATTACCACGTTCCCAGCCCCAATCTCCTTTCTGGTCGCAGACGGCTGCCCGTGACCACCTAAAGCCTGGGACCTGCATGTTTCAATGATCCTAGATACAACAACAAGATCTCGGGCCGGTGTCGCCGAAGCTCCGGTCAACCTTTAGGCCGACAGCAGCTCTCGCTCGCGATAACGTCCAATGCCTCGATCAGGCATGGACTTCGTCAAGAGAGCGGGGATCTCGGAAGATTCGGTGCGTCGAGCGGTTCTGCAAAGCAGATTGAAAAGCTGAAGCACGGCGCTCGAAAGCAGACAGTCCATGGAGCTGGTCTCCAGTCGCCCGATGTCATCCCCAACTCCAGAATCTTTGCAGGGGCCCGCATGACGCAGGCGGCTGGATGCTTTCTGCAGCGAAGTGATGTGGGGTTATGAGTTTCTATGCCTGCGGGAAGGGGATGTTACTTCGCGCTCTGCAATGTATGCCGTCAGAAAGTTTCTGTTTTCAGATGCGAGCATGAGATGAGACAGGCCTATGAGCAGGTGCAGAACGCCTCGCAGGTGGGGCTGCAAGCGCACGTGCCACATGCGAAAGCATGCGAAAGCATGCGAAAGCATGATGGCGATGGGTTGCGGCTGCTGCGGCTGCGGTGTCGTTTGTGGCCTCGAGGCGCTGAGCCTCATGGGCCTCGGTGGAGTGAGCCTGGGCGGATGGCTTTGCTTGGAGGACCCCGCAGAGAATAGGGCATGGCATCATGGGAGGCCAGAAGGAGGTCGTTGTCGTGTTCTTGCAGCAGAAAGCAGGACTGGTTCTTTTCCATGGGCAAAGGCAGAAGCTTGGCCTTCTAGTCATCATGACTTTTTCTCGCAATTTGTCGTCATGAGGTTGAGGTTCTTTTTGAGGGCTTTTGCGGGTAGCTTCCATCCCAAATGGTCGTTTGGTACCCTTTCAGATTGGGAGGTCAACACTGCTCCCGTCTAGTTGTCAATGTCAGAGCTTCATAATGCCCCCCTCCACAATCCAGAAGCTTTGCCCCGAAGCCTCTCCGAGGGCTTGTCTCCAGCGCTCACGAGCAGGGCCAAGGGCACCTGGGCTCTGCAATATGGTCATCTGTTCGGATTCAGTGAGTAACTTCCGGAGACGTCGCAGCTTTATGACTTGGTGTCAGAGGCGAGGGTTCTGCGGAAGGATGCACCTCTATTCTGTCGGGGGGCTTGTTCAGGTATGCGTTGCCTCCACGAATACCTTCGATGAGCAGTCCGTGGACATCTGCTGCATGGCAACACCTGTCTCATGGGTGTAGGACGGGGTGCTTGGCTTTTTCGGAGCATGATGGCCGCTTGCAACAGCCCAGCACTGTTGCAACTGCTGCCCATAGGGAGCCCCAAGCCGAGGAAGGATTGCTCACGCGACAGCTCATCAACGAGCACGGGCAGGCTTATGCGCCCCGTCAGCACTCCTCAAGCGATGTTCTCTCCACTGCTGTAGTGCGTGGACTTGACTTCACTGCTTCTTGGATTGTTGTTGCCTGGAACTTCAGGCAATCCAAGCTATATCCGAATACCGGACGCACTTCATTACACCCGAGGCGGGGCTTGACTTCAGAATGTATGCTTGGTATGTACTTTCAATACTCAGTCTGCAGCGTACCGAACACAGGGAAGAATCCGTTGCTGTGTTTAGATCAGTCTGGCGTTTAAGAGGTTTATCTCTAGACGGGACGAGGAGGCATTCGAACGAACAGAGGAAATCTGACTTCTCCAAACAAAAACCCCAAACTCCAGGACCTGCAAGAGATCGTGAACGCGGGCCTGCGAACAGCTCTCCGGATGCATTGATTGCAGGCTGTTTTTTTGCATCGACGCGCCGTCTACTCAAAGTCCATTGCTTTGCCGTCCGATCGCAGCTAGCAGCTGCGGTGCCAACATGGGAACATGAGGAGTCTCCCGACGAGGTTGTTTTGGTGGATGGAGCGGAAGACCCTTGTAGATTCTTACCGTTGGACGAAGCTTGATTCACGTCCGAAATGCAGAGGCAGGGCCAGCAAATTCATCACCAATTTCTGTTGTCACCTAGCCAACCAAGACAGGCAGACAAAGCTGGGAGCTTCATTGGAGAGAAGGCAGAACTGGAAATCGAGAAGTCTGTGTAAGTTGAAAGGGCAGAATCGGGCTGAGCATCACGAAACGAGGGGACACCGATGTGGCTTACAAAAGACGAGACAGAGGGTTAACCTCAACAAAGATCCGAGAACATCAACAAGCTTGTGCGGTTGCCACAACAAAGCTGTGCGGTTGCCACAAAGCTGCGAGAGCATCAAAAAGATTATGTGGTAACCTCACTGAGGCTTCTAAGGCTTCGAAGCTTTGGGGAACAACATGCAGTTACATCGTCACTCTTGCCCGATACCGCGGCCGAAATTTTGAGCCCTGAAAGTTTCGAACTTAGCGGGCTAGGGGGCACGGGCGTGGGGGAGTACAGATTTCGGCATTTTGAGCCCTGAAAGTTTTGAAAATCGTACTCCCCCACGCCCGTGCTCTGGCCTCTCTGCGGGCGCGGGGGAGTACAGATTTCGGCATTTTGAGCACTGAAAGTCTGGAACATCGTACTCCCCACGCCCGTGCTCTAGCCTCTCTGGGGTCCCGCGTGCCCGTGCTCTGGCCTCTGGGGTCCAGCGGCTACAGATTTCGGCTTTGTGCTGCGTGATCATGTGAATATCTGTGGGCGCAAAAGGCTCTGGCATATCGATTCTGCAATGTTAGTGGCTTCAGAGGGGTGCTCTTCAACTTGCCGTTCTGATTCCTCAATTTGCTGTCCTGTTTCCTAAATTTCTTGTTGCGGTTCCTGCGTTTCTTGTTGTGGTTCTCGCTCGTGTTCCTTCTTGTGGTTAAACCCACCTCTTTACAAAGGACTGTCGCGGTCTGAGCGGTCTGAGGTCCGGCTGCCAATCACCTGGGCAGCCTTTGCAGATGCCCTCGGCCCACTAGACCAGGTGGGACCAGTCTCCCATGAGTGCTGCCTAGAACCGCCTTCCACATGCTCAAAAAGGAAATGTTTTGCGGTCGTCCGTGATTTTCGGAGGCTGTCTATGCTTCCCACAACGCCGACCTGGACATCATTACGGTGTGGGAGCCCCAAGTCGCTGTTCCGGAGCAGAGTCGAAAACCTCGCTTCGGTGTTGCCTTCGACCAGGCCGGATCCCTTCTACAAGGCCCTTGTTGGGATAAAGAGGGCACCACATGGGGTGGAATGCCGGTATCGAAGGCTGAACCTGTTGCGAGTTGATCTTTAGGGTGCGTGGTGGGAAGGATAAGAGAGAGAAGGCGAGGGAGATGCACAGCCTAGACGTTCCACTCTCGTAGACCCTGCGTGCAAACGGTAGCTCCAGCATCTGCCAGCTCCCCGCACCGGATGCGCTCATTGCAGCCATTCGTCGGTGCAGCACGAGGACAATGCTTCCCTTGTCACGATTCCGAGAAAGTTGCTGACGGACTTCCTCCACGAGGCACACGTTTCGGCCATGGGTTTTTGTGTTGTAAATAGAGGACAGAGCTGTGGGATTGCAGTCGTGCCATGTTGAAGTTGCGACGGGGGATCAGCGGCACGAGGTGCTGCAGGCGACAAAAGCCTTGACCAGACTATGATTTTGCCGTCTTCTTGGTACTTTAGGCGTAAATCGAGGAAATTCGCGGCATTTCTTGTGTCTTTCTACCAAGAGTTTCTGGGTTTCCAATGTTCTGTGAGAGAGCAAAGCTGACGAGACCACATGCGCGCAGCGCCTCTTTTGCCGAATGCTCGTCTTGCTTGTGACGCGCCTGAACGAGGAAATCCTTCGGGTAAAATTGAACCTGACATACTTTCGAAGCCTTGTATGCCAGCCCTGAGCGGCTCGCGCTCGCCTCCGCGCAGCCACAGGCGAGAGCCCACGGACTGAGCGTGATTCTGGTGCCTCCCTCAGAGCTCGTCGCGAAATGAGAGTCAAAACCATAACCAGAAGCGGTAAGGACGTCCATGCGTACCCTGGTGGTGCTTCTCATGGTACCTACAATGGAGTCTGGCCGTTGAAATGTACCTTCTGGACGGTGGCTCGCCTGAATGAATGCCTCGGGGTTGCGCAGTGGCGCCGGGGCCATTCGGGGCTTCGGTGCTAAGACAGCAATGCTCAATAGATTTGGTTGCAATCCGGCTGCAAGAACCTGAGATCATGGTGCTAAGGTCTGTTCAGGCACAGGCTAAGAGGTCAACATGCGGTCACGCCGTGTTTAAGCAAATCTCGACAATCTAGTTTCAATGAACATCCTGAAGCGATCGTGGGTGGGTCAATGTAGCGCGACTGCTCCATTACGACGCTCCGAAGCAAGGCGTGCGTGGGCATTTCTTGAAGGCCTGCTTGACCTTCTCGTCGACTCATATGATTACTCGTATCAGACCCCTCGCATCAGTCGCAAGCTTTGAGTAAAGTGCAGTAGAAGAGCTTGGTGAAGTGGGTTCAAGCTTGCAAAGGAGAAGTCGCGGATTGGAAGCACGAGTCTGACGCAGATCGGGCTCTGGATCGTCGAGGACTCTTGGAGCTGAGCTGGCATGGGCATCGCATACTCGCATACGGCCGTGGTAGAGTTTTCCCTGTCTCCTGGCCGAGAAAATGGTGCACTGGATCGAGAATCTGGACCTGGAGGCGCAAGGCAGCGCTGGAGAAAAATGCGGGAAGGGTTTGGTGTTCGGACCCCTCAAGGTTAGATCTTGCAAGCTGGTGCCACCCTTCTTCAGGCGCGATTGCCGGGGTCACCCTCATGAACGAGCCCGGCCACATGAACCGCTGGACACTTGACTAGCACAGTTGCCTACTGATGACGTTCGTATGCTGCATGCTTACCGTAATGAGTCTCCTCGCGCAGAACATGTAGCCTCGTCAACGGAATCGTGCAGTGAGCAAAGCGGAGCGGATCTTTTTTCAAGCGCTCCCTTTCTGTTATCAGAGCAGTGCAGGATAAGGTTAGCAGTGTAGGTGTAGGCTGCTAGGCTGAGAGGCAGAGGATGGCAGAGGGCGCAAGATCGAAGCTGCTTGTGGAGATCTGCCTGGAGCCAAGGAAGCAATTTGCACCTGACCAGGCCATGCTAATGCCTTGCGATGGGTGTCCCAAAACTTCCATCGGTTGGCATCCGGGATCTTTCAAAGAGCACAATTTGTCGAATCGGCATTGCGTCGGGCGAGGCCATCCTGTCCTGGCTGGGCGAAGCATCAGCGAGATTTCTGAGCTCCTCGACTGCAACGCTTAAAGCGCCGCTTAGATCTGCCCGATTTCATGCCCAGATCTCTTTGCTGCCGTTAGGCTCACGCCTTCCTGTGGGACTAAAGCTCTATGTGAGCTTGGTCGAGACAGCTTTCCAGGCAGCTAAGTTGCACATTCTGGTTGCTGGCTGGAACACGCGCTGACAAAATATTCTGCCTTGTGATGAGTGGTGACGGTGCCTGGTGTCGCACCTGCGTGTGGCCACGATCACCGTGCTGGCAGTCTGAGCTTCCTGACCTGTTCAGGACTTCGGTGGCTTAGCAGTGCCCTGGTACCAGCAGGCTTTCACATTGGAGGACAAAGCCACGCCTGGGAGGGTACGGAGGTAGAATTATGAAATGAGAACCTTTCACCTTGTCTGGAGTTGGAACCGCTGTAGCCTCTTCCAGTCTGCCGTGCCAGGGAAGAGATGAGGAAGGAACTGCCTGCATGTGCCCATGCCCCTGAACAGGAGAGAAGAACTCGGGTCGTGGCAGATGTGCACTACTACATGGTCGCTCTGAACAATCTAGGTTGTGTGAAAAAGGTTTCTGTGGTATCGCTGGGTGCGGAGCATGGATGCTGGAGGAAGGTTTCGGTCGGTCACCCGCCTTTCTCATGAAGACAGTAATGTGAGTGCAGCTGCTGGCGAGGCATGTGTGAAATTGTCAGCATCGATTGAAGCAGTCGTAGGAAACTTTCGCGTTGTTAACATAGAGTCTCCAAATCTATAGTCACAAATGGCTGGACCTGACAGTTTGCGATTTGGACATGGTGACGCCTTCTCAGGCTTGGAACCATGGCAACTGCGATGGGCGCAGTGATGGACTTGGAGCCTACAGCTGTGGTGCCGCCCCTGCCAAATATGCAGGCACACTGACACCTTCCTGTGCAATTGCAGGATGCAGAATGTCCTAGCTCCGAGAACCTTAAAATGCTTGTGCTGGGACATCCCTGCTTGCGCTTTGGATAAACCTCTCGACAGAAAGACGAAGCATGCTTTGCCGATAGAACGCCATCGCTTTTCCTTGTTCTACTTTTTGCAGTTGAAGCACCGTTAGGGCCGTTGTGGGTGGAAAGGCATTCGGCTTGCCCACCTAGTGCAAGCCTAGTCTTCGTATGCCGTGCTTCCGCATCGCTCCGCGTTCGGGTTGCTTCCAAGAGTTCGATGTAGCTTGGTCTGTACGTGTATACCAGAGTGATGCTCATGTAAGGCCTAATTCTATCTTCCGGCGGTTGCCGCACAAACCAAGAACATGGACATCCTGCTTTGAGTCGGAGCTCCAGGTGTGTTGAATAGCTGTGCAGCTGGATTCGTTGCTCGGCGGCGAAGGCTTTGACCTTTGGAAGGCTGTCTTGTAATGCAAAAGAAAATCTGTCAACCCTTCCAGGTCTGAGAGACGTGAATTATGAGTCATGCTGGGAAGGATGTTACTTCGAGCAGTCTGTTTCTGGAACTGGTGCAGACAGACATCTTAAATCTTCGATTCAAGCGCGCGCGGGCCGTACATGGTGTACGGTGTATGAACTGTATCTTCATTCTTCGATCGTATGATGCTGAAATAACCAAGCTTTTGGCTAGCCTGCGTCAGTCTCCAGGTCGGAGAATTGATAAGATCCATGTTGCATCTCTGAGGCACGCAGCTCGTATTTCCGCTGGGGTTCGCAAGGTGGTCTTGTATCAGCGACCTGGCTGACGGCTTGAGTCCATCAACTTGAAATTCAAGGGCTTCGAGGTGCTGGCTTAAGAGGTCACAAGCACAAGAAGACTAGTCATGTCTCGCGGCTGTGTGGAGGCAGAGTCTCTTAGACGCCCAGTCGGTTTGCTGGGCGCATGCTTGGGGGAGGGCTGAGTGGGGTGATTACCCGAAGCTGGTGGTCGGCTGGGCAGACAATGCTGAGAAGTGTAGCAGACTGTTCAGATCCGGACGAGCGCATAGTTCTGCATCCAAGAAGGGTAGAAGACAGCAGGAGTGAGAGGACTCGAGGAACCCATACTTTCTGTGCGAGACGGAGGATGCTACGCTTGGAGCTGAGGTGAGCGAGTTCTCGCTCGGCACAGCTGATGCCATAGATGTGGCTTGCAAGGCACAGCATGCATGTAAGGGCACGGTTGCACCTGCAGAGCACTTGGATACCAGCAGTGCCGCTATGCAATTGTCACCCGACATGCTGAAGCCAGGAGCCCACATTGCTGTGGACTATGTTGGGAGAGCAGCTGGTCTCTTTTCTGCAGGAGACGGACACTAGACGGCTCAGGTGATACTCGGAACTGAGATTCGCGACTCGAGATTGAAGCTGTTTTCATCGTGCACCGATTGGCTAAGTTTGTGCAGCTTTGTCACTGAGCAGTGGTAATGTCGTGTCTGCTCGAGCTGTGCCGGCACTTGCGAAGTGATTGCTCGGCCACATCTTGGCGCGATAGCGCAACTTTGACGAAGCCGCGGTCGTGTTGCTGGGATGATGTCTCCTGTGGATGTGGAACCGAGGCGGCGTTCAGGAAATATTATTTCGAGAGTGTCATCTGGACTTGGAAGATGCCGTATGCGCCTGACTTCGAGTGCCTTGCCCCGGACTGTGCTGTGCTGCTACGTCACTGTGAACCCCAAGTGAATGGGCCCAGCATCGCCATGTGCTCTCAGGCCTGGCTGGTCACTGCAGTGGTTGCTTCACCAAAGCCAGCGCCTGGATCGCACCTAACTCCCTCAGACATGCAGATCCTCAGATGTTGTTGCGAAGTGTCGCAGACAAGTGCTAGGCAGGTCCGGCCGGAGTGCCATCGTAAAGCGCCTGTCGCTGATGCCGACGGATTCTGCACTGCTCAGAGACGTGACAATCAAGCAGTGTCTGTGCCGTAGGGTAGGTCGGTAGCTGTTACAGCTTGCCGTCCCCCGGAACCAGTCAGACTGGATGGCGACGTGTAGCCTGGCTCCATCGGTTGAACCCGCAGGTTCACTGCCAGATTTTGCCTCATCCCTCACAAACGATTCGAGGCTCGAATACAGCCAGCAATCCGGACTGAACGCAAGCTAAACCTTCTGAGGCTCCGAATGACAGGACCGTTCCTTCAAGAACCACTGTGTCGCATGTTCTATCCACAGTTGTAGCAGGCCATTGGACGGTGGGCGAAGCAAGACCACCCCTGTGTTACCTTTCAACACTCCCTACCGTCCCCCGGACATGGTCTTACATGACTGTGATGTTTTCCGCAATGTCTTCCGAACCGAAATCCACCTTCGGACTACTCGTAGAACAGGAGAGCCTGCAACGCATGCTGTAGTTGCAACATGTTGCAACACTGGATGTCAAGTGTCCAGGTCCAGCGTCATCTGAGCTTGGACGCGCCGAGTTGATGTCTCAGGGCCTCGGATCCTCGGCTTGGGTTGCGACAGCACACCCATGGCCCCCCCCACCAATCTTCCATGAGGGCAAGTTTTCCATAGCCGTCAAGGGGGTGTTTGCAACTGCCATGTCTGGCCATGCATGCAGGGTGCTTCGTCTTCCTAGTCTGGGAGTGCATGATGTTGGACTTGCAAACCCTTGATGGCAAGAATATCTCGCTGAGCAGCAGATGGTCACCGATATAGACACTGGCGCAAGCAAAGCACCTTCGTCTCTTCCTTGAACTGGAAGCATCCATGAAATCGGACACCATGGTACTATGACTTGAAACAGTACCTGTACGGGCTAGGGCCCAAGAGGTACTCAGCCAGTGAATTGTCTGTGATCTGTCTGCAGGAACGATATGCACGAACAGCTGCTGCAAGCTCCGTGTGCTTTGTGGGATCGTGTGGGGGGCATCAAGTCGTTCACCCAGCGATTCATATCGGCGCTGACAGAGCTGCATGCAGCTGGCGAATACACCGTAAGGCATTGAGGCCTGCATGCTTAGCGGCAGACGTGCAAGACCTGAAGGGTCGTGCGCAGAAGCCGTAGCCGTAGCTAGTTGTGGATCGACTCGGGTTCGTGGCTATTCAGACAGCCTCCTCGAGCCCCTCACCGTAGTGCTTGCGCGATTCGTCGCCAAGAAACGCAATGTTTGAGCGCTTTGTGCTTCTGGTCCGGCATCTCAGATCTCGGCCCGCAGACCTGATGCCAAGCCGTTTGCCCTGGCACTGTCTCGAGCACTTTTCGACAAGCCAGGATGCACCCATAGCCCCTGCATCGTCAACTTTCAGGCCTCGCCTTCAACTTTTGGGCAGAGAAGGTTGCTTCAGCATCGACTTGTGGCTCTAGTTTATTCCAAATTCGCACCGCCTGTACGAGACATGTAACATCATAGCTGCACATGAGAAGCCCACCCCTCAACATAAGGCCTCGAGCCGGAATCCAACCCTGAGGAACCCATAGCCAGAAGTTTGAACCACTCGGTGCCAAAACACATGGCACCTCGTGATCAGAGAGATCGAAGTCCCAAGCGGCGGAGAAGCCGGAGCCGAAGTGATAGTGCCTCGGCTGCAAGCGAGCGCAGCGAGCTGTCTGAATCGTCTCATACAGTTTCTAGCGAGACCGTCACGCCTCAACGACACTCCTACTCACGGCACAACAGAAGACGCCTTGCTGGTTGCACCTCGTCTCCCGCAGCAATAGCCTTGGTCCCAACTTTGTCCGCGGCGCGATGTGCCAAGATCGACCCATGCGCTCTGGTGTTTAAGCGGGGGAATGCTGGGTGTGTGTAGGACGGAGGAGACCGAACGACGCCAAGACTTCCCGGCAGAGGCACGCAGAGCTGGAAGTCCAAGAATTCCTGCAACGTTTTTATGTCAATTTTCGCTAATGGCCAGGTGCAGCAGCTCGGACGAGGACCGTGAACCGCGAGCATAGCTCCTCGAAGCTGGCCAGATCCGGTCGCCGAGTGAGCACCATAGCCAGCGAGGATTGAGTGCATCAGGTCGTCATGTGCACTGAAGTGTCAGAGGAGAAGCCGCAGACGAAAGCGGACCCCCATGCTGCAACGAAGCCGGCAAAGCCGCGTGAGGTGCGTGCTGTGGGCTGTGGGCGGAGAGTTTCTTTGTCCCGAGCACCAAACTACGCACAAGCCCTGACATTCATGGACTATGGAGAGGCTTGTTTTTTTTTCACTGTCTCAGCGGCGCTCTTGGCTCCCAACAGTTCTCCTGCATCGTCTGTTTGGAACAACGTCTGAACTTGTGGATGACACTGAGCGGTTCAGTTCGGGTCTTGTCTCGCGACGCTGCATGGAAGGCCCATACGACCTTCCGCCTCTCGCGCCAGGTCGCAACGGTTTCATTGGCCACCCGGCCATTCGGCATGGCACCCTCGAAGGAGGCGGTGCGGCAATCAGGGCTGGTAGGATGCTTCAGCCGCAGAGGTGACATGCAAAAACGAAGCTCTAAACTTAGGACTTAGGACTGCGGTCTCGCGATGTCTCCCGGTCCGCAGACCCGATAATGAAGTCCAGATATTTCTCCACACAGTATTGTCTCAGCTCCTTTCTGACAGGCTGGACACTTCTGGCCCGTGCTTTTGCAGACCTACTACCAACAAAGCAAACGCTGGTTTGCGCAACCCTAAACCCATGCATGACTCTGTCGATATGGTCTGCTAGACGGGTTGATGCGGTTCTAGAGCCTTTGGCGTTCTTCGGTTCTTCGTTCCTTGGGAAGGAATGTGACGTGTCCGTCAAAGGGTTCTGCCTTGCTCGCGATTGTTTCCTTACTGGATCAACGGTGGAACGTACGGCGCTTGGCATGGTCGCCATCAGGACCGAGCCACGCAAAAGTAAAGCTCTCCCAGAAAAAAGCCGTGTCTGCACCGTTTTGACCTGGCTGCATCATCTCCCCACTTCGCTTTACCTGCGGGGTTGTCTTGAGCATCCCCGGAGGCTGCGGCCACGGGTTATGTCATCGAGAAGGTCGCAGAAGGCAAGCCGGCTGCGCAGGCCGCGGGCATGCGCTGACAAGACGAGATGTAATTGGCAGTCCTTCGCGCGCTCCATGATGTGCTTGCTGGATTTCGCTGCATTTCTGTCTTGCATTTCTGTCTGGCTGCAGTCAGGCCGGCATTGAGCCAGGCTGGACAGTGAAGCGGGTCGCCAGCACGGATTGCCAAGGCTGGTTCGGGCAGAGCTCGGGTAGGCGAATCGGCAGATCATGATGTAAGATAGTGATCTACATGCCGTTCTTCGATTGGTTGTGGAACGTCTCCGAGGGTTTGAATCATCCAGCGACCAGTTTCCAAAAAGCGTCCCAGCATGGGCTATGAAAGGACCTGAGATGACGGTCGAGTTAGCAGGCGAGCCTTTACTTGTAAGACGGAATCTAGTTCGCAATGAAGCCGTCAAGAAGAGCTGAGTTATTGCAGGCCTGGCTTCTGCCGCTGTGCAGGCCCTGCTGAAAGATGCAGCTTTGCTTTGGGCTTACACGAGGCAGTCAGGTCTTGTCGTGTCATCGCAGGCTTCGCTGGTCTTGCAACTGCAGGAAAGGGAGCCAATGACCGCATGTGCAGCCTCCCCTGAGCACTGAGCCTTGACATCCTTGTCCAACCCGGACTTCCGCACTGGGCACTCTTGGTGCTCGGGCATTTGCGGGATGTTTCGGCTCCTGAACTGAGGGCCCAGCCCCTTTCACGGGCCCAGAGTTGCCGAAAGTCAATTGAGGTGAAGTCGTCTTCAGTTAAAGCTTAGCTAGAGCCTAGAGGGCCTAGAGTCTAGAGTCGAGCGTTGAGCCTCCTCAAGCAGCTTCCGGTTGGACAGTTGCCAAGGCCAGTCGAAGTGGTCTTTGAGAAGCCGGAATCCGATGCTCGAGTGCAGCGGTGTGGCTTCCTATTTGTTACTTTCAGCCAACAAATAGGTATACTGTCAGGCCTTCGATTTGGTGCAGATGTGTGGCTAAGCTTCTTCCAGCTATGCTAAATCGTCTGTAGGTGCGAGGGTCAGAGCAGCTGCCGTAGCAGCAGCAGTCGTGGCAAGTGAGGGCATCAAATGCAAAAGTCGTTCCTGCCAAGCTGCAGTGCTTTTGCTTCTCGGATCCACCGTGTATTCAGTCGTTGGAGCGTTGTTGATAGCGGGCAAGTGACGTTCAAGGAGACCCTGCCAAGCAGCGACGACGAGAACGACATCTTGAACCCTGCTCAGATGGTAAGCATCCAAATGTTCAGCATCTGGTTCCCTGCCTCGACCTCTCAACGCGTATGAGGTCATGAGCGTGAGCTGAAGCAAAGCGATCTGATCAGGACTGTGCGTGCAGATCAACGACGTGGCAACGAGGTCGCTAACACTTTGTGCCTGTTTTCGCTTCGTCGTTGTTGCAGATGCTCCGTTACCGGGACAACTTGTGCTTAAGCCAAACATCCGCCAGAGGCATCTGGGTTGTAAAATCGATTCCGAAAGGGAAGCCCAGCACTTGGCAGTAGTAGGGCGAGCTTAGCAGAAAGAGAAGCTACCTGTACGGCTTCATGGTCCAAAATGTGTGTTTAGAGTTAGGATGTGTTGGTACCTCAAGTGGAGCATGAGATGTGTAGTGGACATTCGTGGCTTTTTCAGACCCTTGACCCGAAGTTCTTGCTAACATCTGGAAGCGCGTGAGAACGGTGAAGATGCGACAGTGCATGGAGAATGCTCCCCTTCTGAGTGTCTAGCTGAAGGCTTTTCGAGCCCGCCAGGCAGCCCTGTCCAACATCGACGACCTGCCTGTGAGTCGGGAGCCGGAGAATCTTCCTGCACCAGTCTGCTCCTGGCGCCGCCCCGCTGCGTTTTTGTCTCCTGACGGTGTGCTCTTAGCTGATGGCAGAAGCTTTCTTCATCCTTCTTCATCCCGTGAAGTTTGTGACGACCCAGCGTCGCTTGGTCCTCACCCACGGCAAACTGCCGATGCGGACACCCGAGGCGAGGCAGTCGATCGGAAGCTGCTGAATGCTTCGCTGGTGCAGAAGCTGCGCATGGCTTACTGAAACTAGGTCCCCTAGGCTTGCTTGATGTTTGGGACGTTCATGGTAGCTCCCTGGACTTGGGACATCTTTATTCTGGGATCGCGTAGACTCGGCGAAGCGGGAGTGAATCTCCCTTTCTGATGGCGGCTAGAGCGGTTTTCGGAAGGAAAGCTGTCGCCTAATGTTCTTGAGGAGACTCTTGTAGGGATTGTGGGTTCAATGGATTTGGGTTTTAGCTTGAGAGCATGAGACTTGCTTTCAGCACAGAGAGAAATCTTCAAGCATGACGCAGACAGGGCCTCTCGGTTCGCGTCCGCAGACGAAAGTTGGGCCAGGCAGCAGGATGCTTCATTTCTGGGGATCACAGTTTTTCCTTCAGTGCTCGTTGCTTCACCCTCCTCCTGTCAGTTCACAAAAAAGACATGCCGGTCCCAGTGTTGTGGCATTCCCGGAGTGTTGCTTAGGCACGCTTCGGGCCTCAAACGGCCAACATTGTCTCCTGGCGATTACTTATGCGGTGTTGCATGCTCATGCACGAGGCGAGTTCACGCATGATGTCTACGAAAGCAGCTGCAAGCTTTCTGGTCATTTCCGCTGCAAGATCTTCGGCCTTGTCTGTTCTGGTGATGTACTCCAAGGATTCAGCGGCATGCGATTCCGATCATTGGCCATGCAGATCACTGGGATCTGGTTTCCTGGATCGAGAGAGATACTAGTACACATCTTTGCTTGTGTTCCAGTCACAAGCGGTTGACTTCGGCTGATGGCTTTGCCGGAGCCAAACCTGACAGTTAGGCAAGCGTTGGCTGTTGAGTCGCGCAGAGCTTCAGGGCTTGTCGCATCGTCGTCTAACCAGGCCTCGCCATTCCGTCGTTTCGTTGAGTAGACGCAATCAGTCGCTGCGTTGGTGCCAGAAAGACGTTGCTGTGCCCTTGGCCCTGTCCCGGACTTCTTGTGTGCAACGCATCCAGAGGTTGCACAAGCCCAAACAGGCGCATGCCGGGACTGCCAGGGCGCGGAGGTTTTTCAGCACAATCCGGAGCTCAGCTGTGCAGGCTCTGGGAAGACCTTCGCCTTCGTCATTCCCACGCCGCTTTTGGAATTACGCGAGCTGTGAGCCGAGCCTTTTGGCCGTTCTTCGCTCGCCTCAGGATCGCTCGCCTTGTTCTGCGTGGCTGCCCCGCGCGACCCTTCTTTGCTGGGCCCACGGCCCAGGTGGGAGTCCAGCCCTGAGACATGAGACATGAGAGCAGACATGCAGACATGCATCCTGGAGGCGTGCCCGGTCGTCCTGGTGTGCCCGGCGATGTCTTCGATACGAAAAGTTCATTCGTGCAGTGAAAACTCTCAATCCTTTCCTCGTGTCGCACACTGGGGCCAGGTGCTGTCACCCACGCGTGAGCTCGCCATCCAGACTTGCACGGAGATGGAGGTCCTGACGAAAGGGCACTTTGGCATCGGACCAGCGCCACCTTTTTCCACCTAGTCTGGAAGTTTGTCGTCGAGCGCGAGTTTCAGCACAGACGTGAGCAAAACGACCAAGGACGAAACTGTCGCAGAGCCTCGGCAGCAATCCCAGTAGCAAACTGCACAGAGCCTGCTGGGCTGAGACTGCTGAGAGATGGTTCAGTCCCATTCCAGGATGAGCATCTATGGAGGCGAGACCGTCAAGGTGCCAGCCGGGCGGATGCGGGGCTTGTAGTTCTTGGTTACGGCTCTCGGGGTTTAGTAGGGATGCGGATGTTTTCACGTAAGCGACCCCGGGTTCGCCCTGTTTGGTACAGTATTTTCTGCTTTCTGGTCATTCTTACATGCAGCAGGTCGAGCACGTCTTGGCTACTGTATTGTTTCCTCAGCAAGCCCTCGAGGTCTCAGTCCCTGGCTTCGGTCTGCAGAAGAGCGTGGAAGCATTGAAGTCTTGCAGGAAACTGTGAAAAGACTCGAGAACGCTCCTGTCGACATCGTCTGCGCGCCGCTCGTCGAGGGACGCTGTCGAAGAAGCTCTCCCGCTATCTGAAGACCTAAGCCGTATCAACACCGTACCGAAACCCTGAACCTTGCCCTTGACACTTAGGGTTTAGCATTCAGGGTACCCTCAGGCCGAAACCATGAAGCCTAAGCCGAAACTCCAAAACAAGAACAAACAGTAAATACACTCTGAACAACTCGAGGCCAATACCGTACTGCTGCCTCCCTTAAGAGCCGAGGACGCCTGGTCGATTGATCCAACTCCTGGACGAAACCAAGTGCCTCGTCCAGGAGTTCTCTTGGGCTAAAACGTGGGCTCTCGCTCTCCCTTTCGCGGTGCTGTAGAGACTTCCGTGCCGGAGGTTGTCATTGGCTTATGTCCAGACCGTGATCTTGGATGAGGCAGACCAGATGTTGGAGCAGCGTCTGGCAGCCTGACTGCAGTCGTCAGGGCCCTCAATATAGTCTCACCTGATGTGCATCGACGAAGCTGAGGAGATCATGTGTGCTGATATCCTTGTGGGACGGGTCGCTTGCCAGCAGCTGACCACATGTACTGACAGCACAATCTCCGCAAAGGCAGCGGAGATGATTCACTCACTGGGCGAACTCCATACCCTCTTGTGCGTCACATTGTCGCGAGCTCCGTGGGTTGGCGTGGAGCGAGGGAGAAGGCTTGTCTCATACTTTCACGTGCAGTCACCGACGAGTTGAAAGCAGTGCATTCTGTTTCTGTCAACCCGGGCACGAGATGAGACCAGGAAATGGACGGTTAGAAAGGTTCGTTGGCGGCTTTTGCCCCCGTGATTCCCCGTGATGCAAAAGTAGCCCCCGAGAGAGTCAGAATCATCATGTTTACGAAGTCGGGGCCGTGGCAACCGTTCTGCTGAAGAAGAGACGCCTTTGAAGGGGTGGGAACCACCAAAATTGGAAGCCGCTCTCCCGCATTCGTTACTTTGACGCCGTTGGGATGCCAAGCCAAAAGAACACCGCCCAGGACATGTCTGAGCCAAGCTCCGGAAGACAGACGTTGCTCTTCAGCGCCACGATCCCGCAGCCGCTCGGCTTGGCTTCTTCGCCTCAGAGAGGCGGCCAGGCGGCCAAAAAACAGACAGAGAAGCACAAAGAGGGTGCTATACTCCACTTTGAACATGATGGTCTCCATGTCACAAGGACTCTTCAGAACTCTTCTATCAGAGTGATGCGGCATTGAAAGTCGAAAGGTCTCGCCGAAATTGCTGACACGAGGGCTTACAACAGATCGTTCTTGAATCCAATCACCTGGAAAGTTGAGTGTCCTCATGTAGGTAAGACAGCAGCCCATCTGAAAGGAAGATCCGGGACATGTGTCCGCAGATTCTGCGGACAGCGCATCTCAGATGCATCAATTGCTGACATCATCTTTGTGTGCATGTCTTGGCTGTCTGCTCCTAGTTTTGCTGTCTCCATGTACACTATGTGTTGTGCAGCTGCGCTATGACAAGGGACTTTGAGGCGTAGCTTTCACCGTTTTCCTGTGTGCAGCTGCAGGCGAACGGGGCATCTCACGATCGGTCACTATGCAGAGGACGGGCATTGACAGTGGACAGCGGAGTATGCACGCGTTTATGCATGCGTCAAACTGGACACTAATGTACGACCGAGTCTCAGGATTGTGAGAACCCTTCAGACCCCTGCCTGGAAGGACAAGGGTGGCTCATGCGAGAGCATCAAGCAGGCCCCGACAAGTGCTTTCTGCACATCATCGCTTTTTTCTTTGCGCACATCTCACCTGAGCGTCCCGTGGTATTCTGTCGAATGCAGTCACTGCGAATGTTTTGTGGTGAAACACATTCATGTGTGCAGGGACAACCGTCGGATTCGAGGTGTCGTGCCGTAGCTGCTGTGACGGCTCCACGTCCCCCGACGATTTTAAGCTCCCACCCTCCGACGATGAACATTTTGGGCTTTATTTAAGCCTTCGGGTCGTCGCTCGTGGAGGGCAGCATGCCGAGCGGGGTTGCTGAAGGCGTCCCCGGGTGCCTAGCTTAGCACTGGCGAAGGCGACGGACCCGGCGCGAATGCGCTTTCATTCAAGTTCCATCCAAAAAGAACGGTTCGTCCGTCGTAGCCTTTTGATGCTCCCGTCGGGGTCAACAGTTGTCAGGTGTTGCGCTGGTCTCCCGACGACAAGCAGCGAATTGGGGAACCTGTCCAGCAGTTCGCTTCAGACAAGTTTAAGAGCGTCTGTGTGATGCCTCAGCTGGCTCTGCTAGATACCATTGTCTTTGTTGAGTAACTCTTTACCGCCTCGCAATTTCCAGTCGCTGATGTCGAGGCCATTCGCAAGCCTTTGAAAGGGTTACGGCCACTGACTGACTCCTCCGCAAAGCAGAACAAACCGTGCAACTCTTTCCCTAGATTCTGATGGCCTCCCTTCAGCATCTACCGCGCTCATCTTCGAAGTGCATAATCAGTCTACTGTAGGTGTTTAAGCAGAACCTCCAGTATGTTGCAAGGCTCTACAACTATTGCTCCACCTTCCTGTGTACTTTCCATTTCATTCAGCAGCTATGCCCGAGGAGCTCATTGCGGATCTGCGCAAGCACTGGGATCGGAGCAAAGGCACCCGGTCCTGAAAGGATACAGTGATGAGTTCTTGTGAGGAACACGTTCAATGGTCAAAGCCAGCCCAAAGCAGTCTTCTTGGAAGCATGCTCAGATCATCATCATCCCTTCCCTGTTATGAGCACCTGGCAACAAGTGCCATGTCCGCCAAGAAGGCAGAGTCGTTATATTCTCCAACATGCGTATCACCGCGGACAACCTTGCGCACCAGCTGAAGCGCGAAGGTGACAAGCCTGCATCCAAAGATCAGGGTGTAATGAGCTGCACCATGGACGTGTCACAGCTACCGGCTTCCATCCAAGTCTCGCTGATCTAGCGATCCACGGATGCTGGACCCTGCAATGCGTTTTTAAAGATTCCCGGAGCCGACAAGTCACTTCCGTTCCGAGGCATGACCTGCCGGCACTTGCATGGCAAGCTTGACCAGGCGCCTCGGGCTTCGTGCGAGAGCATTCAGTCTCTCTCTGCAAGTTTCCCGACAGAAAGCACCAGGAGGTCCGGGAGAAGGTCTTTGACGGATTCCGGCGAGGTCGGTAGTTTCTGGAAAGCGAAGGTCTGAGAGAATAATCTGTCGCAGGTTTGTATGCTTACGCCACTGACTTGTTTCTGCACCCACTGCCGGAGCTGTGTCAGGTGAGTTCGACATATTGGTCGCCACCAACGTAGCGACCGGATCTTAGCTTCGCTGTCGGGCTGCCATCATGCGTCGGGAGCTAGAACGGCTGGAGACCGCAACCAGTTCTTGCATTCTGCCAGATGACGAGGTCGCGAGGCCTTGACTTTCCCGACGTTTCCCTGGTGGTCCAGTTCAACCTGCCGGAGGCCGTGATCCCACCGTAGAATCCGTAGAATCCCGGACCCAGTTCAGCGGAGGCTGGAGTATGGCTGTTCATGACAGCAACTTGTGACTGCGGCAACGGATCTGCCGTGAAACTGTGCTAACAAGGCCGAGGTTGAGGTTGTGCTTGCGCATCCAGAGGACATCGACGTGTACACTCATCGTGACGCAGCTGCTACAGCTCTTCATGTTCTCATGGAGGGTGGTCTTATTGATGTTGCAACTTGCGTTGTAGTTTCGCACTACTGGCTAGGTCTCATGGCCTCAGACTGCAGGAGAGAAGATTTCATCATATTCCTGCGACTGTGCAACCGACAGCATGACAAAGTATGAAGCATGCGCGCAGGCAAACCCCAGCCTCAGCCTCCCAGACGCAACAAAGATCATCAAAGATTTCCACCCAAGGAGTGGGAAGAACCGGACGGATTGGCCAAGCCGTTGTCTTAGTCGACGGCTTCGGGAACTTGCAGTTTTGCAGAATTCCTGTTCGGGGTCGAGCGTTTGTGCTTCGGCTTTCAGAAGTACCTTCAAGGTGCGCGCATGTGATTCGTGCGTGGGCGCACGACGCAGCGGAGATCTAGGCCTAGACTCCTAGAGTCGGTCTGAGGTCGGTCTGGCCATGGCGTACATGGGCCCCAAGGACAAGAAAGTGGCCTCCAAGCTCGTGGAGCCCTGCTTGCATCAGAGATCTGGGTCGGAAGGGATGACTTCGGTGCGGCTTTTCCTGTGAACATGCAGCCTCCCCTATCATCGCGACTCGCCAGGAGTTCCTGGAGCTGAACAAGCAGGAAGTTCCCGTCTCTTGAACTGCAATACGGCGCGTGTAGGACAAACTGGTTGTGCAGCAGCGCATGGCCACTGGTTTCTGGAGGGTTGTTTGCGGATGCTTGTTCAAGAGGTGTGGATGAGGGCAGCATGCACTTGAGGACTTCTTGCGGGAGTTTGCTCTTCGAGTCGAGACATTGCGGCGTGGCCTTTGACGCATCCCGTGTGGGTGAAAACCACCGAGTTGTTGTCCATGCGGAAGTACGACCACGATGTATCCAGATATGCAGGCTCTGGCCTAACATATCCCCCTTGCTTGCTCCTGGCTGAGATCCCTGACCCTCCAGCCCAAATTCAGCCAGTTCCACAGGGATTCCAACCGGCTGAAATCCTTGTACGGTAATGTACCTTGCAGGGATTCCAGCCAGCATCGGCCCGGAATCGGTTACCCCGGTGCCGTTTTCAAACCGATTATTACGGCCATTTGGATCCCGGTGTTTACACAGGAACCCCATCAACGCTAGCCATCCAAACGTGTCAAACAGATCAACCAGATTCAGCTCAGACAGAGAGAGACGGAGAGAGAGATGAATGAAATTCTGATTGATGGATGGTGATGGTGCGCTTGCTGCAATTCTGAGTGATGCGTCCGTGCCCACCTGGGGCTTACCATGCATGCTTCTCGAGAAGCTGTGGCTTCCATGACAGATAGAAGGGGGAGAGGCTCTAGAGAAGGAGAGAGGTCTAGAAGCGGACAGGCTTTAGAGAAGGACAGAGCTCCAGAAGCGGAGACGCCTTAGAGAAGGGGAGAGCTCTAGAAGTGGGAGAGGTTCTGGAGAAGAGAGATCTAGAAGCGGAGAGGCTTCAGAGAAGGACAGGCTCTAGCAGCGGAGAGGCTCTAGAGACAGAGAGAGCTCTAGAAGCGGAGACGCTTGAGAGACGCTTGAGAGAAGGAGAAAGCTCTAGAAGCGGAAAGGCTTAGAGAAGCAGAGAGCTCCAGAAGCGGAGAGAGCTTTAAAGAAGGAGGGAGCTCTAGAAGCGGAGAGGCTCTAGAGAAGGAGCGAGCTCTAGAAGCGGAGAGGCTTTAGACAAGGAGAAACCTTTCGAAGCGGAGGGACTTCAGAGAAGGAGAAGCTCTAGAGAAGAAGAGAGCTCTAGAAGGGGAGACGCTTTAGAGAAGGAGGGGCTTTAGAGAAGGAGAAACTCTAGAAGCGGAGAGGCTTTAGAGAAGGAGAGGCGAGAGAGAAAGCTCCAGAAGAGGAGAGGCTTGGGAGAAGGAGAGAGCTCTAGAAGCGGAGAGGCTCTGAGAAAGCTTTAGAAGGTGAAGGGCTTTAGAGAAGCACAGACGTGATGCGTTGTTGTGTGAGAAACCAATTCGCATTGTATTCCTGAGAGAGAGAGACAGAGAGAGAGAGAGAGAGCCTTGTGAAAGAAAGAGAGAGAGAGAGAGGATGGAAGCCCTAGCGGGCATCAAAAACGCTGCAGCCAACGCAGCTGGAGCCCAGCTTGCGATTGAAGAGGGAGGAATGGCCACTGTTCAGGAGGCCCTCACTGCCTTGCTGGCGACGGTAGACCGCACGGCTGTCTACCTGGACCACCTCTATGCGCAGCCACAAGTCGGGGGCTCCCCCGCTGGTGAGGCAACCTCAAACAAAAGACGCTGCTTGTCAGATAGGGAGGCGCGCGAACGAGGAGAAGTACCACGTGTTCCACCTCGACGACCCGATCACCCTGAAGATCCGCCAGCCCATGCACTACCTCGACCCATTGCAGCACCCCGCGGCAGCGATTCAGCCGAATGTGTACAACCAGAAGAGCATCCGCGAGCCCTCTTTAAAGGGGACAACCCCTGCGAAGCTACACCGCACCAAGTCCTTCGAGCCCAACAAATTATCCAGGGGCTTATGCCCTTCCTGGAGCAGCAAGCAGCGATGACTTTATCGCAAGCTCACCACCTCTTATTCATGTGGACGTCTGCTCTATGGGGCCATCCCATCCTGCTCGCCGACAACGTGGAAGGCACAGATGGACATCCAGAAGCAAGCCCCACGGCAGACAACATGCAGGAGCCAGGATCTCCTTCGAACGCTACAACGCAAGCCTTCCAAGCTCGGAGCCCACCCCGTAACAGAGAGACCAGAGCGACTGGAAGTGCAAGGGCAAGTACAGGTGGGCCACCGCCTTTAGCGCGACAGTCGTCACATCGAAGAAGAAGAATGCATGCTCTCTTCGATGATACGTCGGACCGAGAACATGGACACGGCGAGGAAGATGATCACGACGGGCCACCATGGTGAGTGAAACTGAAGGCCCACCTGCGCGGTTTCTCCTGGGATGAACCGGCGAAGTAGTTTCATGCAGGAAGGCTTTGCTTTATTGGAGTACTGTTCTTTGTTGCTTCCCCTGTCATAAGCCGGCGACCAGGACCAGCAACTCGCAACCATAGCTGCCCCGGTAAAATTTTGCCTATTCTGTTGCTGGTTGGAGCGCTGCCAGAGTTCTAGCTAACGATCTCCTTGAGAGCATGTGTAATGCACCCTTGGGGTTTAGCCTTAAGTCTCCCAAACCCGTACGGCCTCCAGCCCAGCAACACTCCCAGGGCCCCATTTGGCATCATAGTTGCCTGCATCGTCCCTTCTTCTGTTTCCAAGTGTTGTTTTTGTTGCTACCCCTGTCAAGCCAACATGGGAGCCGTAACGAAGTGGGCGGGCTTTTGATCAGCTTTCTTGCATATACCTATGGAGGGGAAGGACCCCATGTGCGACCTAGCCTTTGTGCTGCCTGAGACCTAGTGCCGCACCCTAGCCAGCTCGCTGCGGGAATCAACGTTTCACTATGGCCCCCAGCCTCTTTGTCACTTTCGGCATTTACTACAGGGTTTCTCGAAAGATGCTGGGCCCTTTTGCTGTACTTACCTTGTTCGGGGGGACGCCCCATTTTGCAACACATCAGTCCTGGTACTCATTCATGGTGCGACTGTAAACCCTGACCCTGGCATACTTGATGACTGCATCAGTTGTCCTTTTTGACATTCCTTTGTTGCTTTACGCCATTAGCCAGGATGTAACAGCATTCCGCTTGTGCCTCATACCAACGGCCAAGCACAAACAAAGCACCTAATGCTGCACCCAATGGCAAGTGTGAAACTTTTGATCGACATTTCCTGGCGATACTATGTTCCATGCCTCGGTTGGCCGTGTGCTAGTTCTGTTACAGAGCCAGATGTCAGATCAAAACATAAGACGAATTGGCCACACTTGAAATCTGGCTGTTACGGGGAGACGTCCCCGGGGTCGCTCCCTTTGCCTAATAACCCTCCCCCGACTTGCTGTAGTTCTACTTTTGCACTTCTCGACGATCCATGTTTACTGCGACCTGAACCATACAACTAACCCGGCAAACCAATGTGAACCTCTTGCACGGGGAATACCCCTGAACAGCAACTTCAGTATGCGGCCAGTCATTACTTTTCCATACTTTTGACGTCATCCTTGCCCTGCTTTTATGGCTGTGCCAATTACAGTTGCTGAGCGAAGAGTGTTCCATTTTGTCCTTTCAGAGCCGGTTGACTGCATAATGCCCATGTTCCCCTCCGCAACTGTCGGGGGCGCTGAAGCGCGCGGGCAAGGGGGTCAATCCCCTTGCCCATAGCCCTGGCGAAAGAAAGAGAGAGAGAGAGAGAGAGAAGAGAAGAGAAGAGAAGAGAAGAGAAGAGAAGAGAAGAGAAGAGAAGAGAAGAGAAGAGAAGAGAAGAGAAGAGAAGAGAAGAGAAGAGAAGAGAAGTGACGTGACGTGACGTGACGTGACGTGACGTGACGTGACGTGAGGTGAGGTGAGGTGAGGTGAGGTGAAGTGAAGTGAAGTGAAGTGAAGTGAGTGAAGTGAAGTGAAGTGAAGTGAAGTAAGTGAAGTGAAGTGAAGTGAAGTGAAGTGAGAGAGAGAGAGAGAGAGAGATGGGTGACGAGGTGATGCGTTGTTGTCCCCTTAAAGGATTACCGGGGAGGCCGGGGAAGACCGGCACCAGCATAACTTCGGGGATGTTTCATAACCTGGGCCAAGGATATCCCTGGCCATAACCATTTCCCTGAACGGAGCCGACACCCTACGATCGAAGGATCTCAGCCGACTGAAATCCTTCCAAACCCGGGTTGAAGGGTTGAGCCATCCAAGCAAGCGGGATCTAACATAGTCTGGGATCACGGACTTGACCGACCCCGAGTTTGCTGGTTGCACGAAACTTGCCGATCAGCATCAGGCTTTTTCTGAAGCGGCAGTTGCCAACGCGTTGAGTCGTCGCACGACGGCGCGGCAACACTGACCCACCCTCCACAAAAAGAAGGAAACAACCAAGCAACAAGCCAACGAAGGATCGCTAGTCCCACAAAAAAAAGGCTCTCGAGACCGAGCTTGTTGTTCGCGCAGTTGCTGCTTGTGAGCCATGGCGCTGGTTGCAGATGGCGAGAGGAAGTTGGAGGCAGCAGCCCGAGCCAGAGTTTCCATGCATCTTCTCTCATGGACTCTCACGCACCACGTGCAGCTCATAACACGGTTCATCATGTAGAGGCAACACAGCAGGAACAAGAACTAGCAATGCTACTACCACCACCAGCACCACCACCAACAACAACAACAGCAACAGCAGCAGCAGCAGCAGCAGCAGCAGCAACAGCGCCAGCACCAACACCAGCGCCAGCGCTTGCGCCAACCAATACCAATACCACCACCACCAACAACAACAACAGCAACAACAACAACATCAACAACAGCAGCAGCAACAGCAACGACAACAACAACAACAGCAAGCCACCCCAAACTATAACCTCAAACCGTGTTTGATCACAGTCGGCCAGGAGTACAAGACTCGCGAGACCATCTACCTCTCAGCTCTGGTCAATCAGGACCGGCAGACGTGCCGAATCTTTGCTTCGGGGGCTAGCGTCCGTGGGCGGCTGGGGGTGTCTCGTCCCTGGAGCTTGGACATCTCGCCAGTCTTTGCTTCCGGACTTGCACATCGTTTCGGTGCTGGTCTCGACAGTAAGCTTGGCAATGCCGGTTTCCATCCATAGCGATCGCAGTCTTGTCGCCAGGAGGCCGAGATGAGCCAACTGAGGCCTTGCGCTCAGTGGCTTTTTGTGGCTTTGCGCCAGCTTACCACCAAGCCTTGGGAAGTTTCCGTCGAATCGTAAAGAGCAGTAAACACAGGGCGGGCCTTTGAGCTTGGCTCTGAGGAAGCCTTTGCTCAGAAAGTGTTGTGATGCCAGGGGCCTCGCCAGCGAGATTCTCGGCGCTTTCGGCGACCAGTCGCTGGCCACAAAGCGAGGCAGACCCGAATGTTCACCCGGAATTCCCACCGGTAGTGTCAGATCCGCGTTTTGCGTAGACTGCTCCGACTTCGACGATTCGAGGTGCGCTGGCAGACTCCACTGCCAACATGGAGGCCCCTTATGGATAACTTGCCACACGGTCTTTGCGCGTACTCGGTTCAAGTGGCCCGGGCACCAAACTGGATGAGGGAGTCAGAACTCTGCAGATACGTGGCCAGGTCTCTTTCGATCAAACCTCGTAGCAAAGAAACGCAACCTGCCACCGCTGTCCCATCTGTGTCGCGAGCAGGTACTCATGCTTCGGCAGCAGGCGGGTCGATGCGCGTTGTGCATCGTAGCCCCAGGTAGTATTTAATGTGCTTTGGGCGATGGTGACAGAAAAGCATGCAGGCGCGGGCCAAGGAGCATCGACTCAACCAGCTGAAAGACGATGTGGAGGTGGAGCAGCTCTTTTTCAAGATTCGGATGTCAGTTTTTTCAAGCGCCAGCAGTGGTCCGCCGCTCTCTGCTCAGGTTTTCTCTAGTAACCTAGTAAGCCTAGTGCAAGTTGCGCTCCGCCGGAGGCCAACCGCTTTGATCAGAGCAATGCGGACGGGAAGGTCTGTGAGCCGATGGGAATTCTAGGTTTTAGGGGCATGGAACACTGCGGCCCCGGCTGGGCTTGGTTCTGCAGGCCTTGATGCAGAAGTGCAAGGCCATCCGAGTTCACAGCCCTTCTGTCTTGTCCAGGGATCACGTTTTGTCGTTGCCGGTTCTTGTTTCGGCATGCTTCCTTTGCCAAGACTACAAAGGTTCTCGACGACACTCACTCTCCGAAAAGCATATGGCATATCAAGTGGCAGGTGTAAAGTGTAAACATGTTTTCATACTCAGCACACGAACATCATCCGGAGAGGACGGGTAGTGACTTCAGCTTGATGGGTTGAGTCCAGCACCAGTTAGGGGAAGCACCTCTGGCAGGCGCTCCTGAGCGAAAATCGGGAGCTGGGCGAGTTGATGCGAGAGGCACCTCGCGTGCTCGGGCTGCTGGTGCCCGGTGTGAGAAAGCCTGGTGAGCTGTCAGAGAAGTGGGTTGCTCCTTGACGGCTTCTTGACAGCGCCAAGCATTCTGCGGCTTTGGTCTCGTGGTCGCCATGCAGCTTCTGGAGGCTTTTTGCTTGCCCTCAGGAGCGCTTGGCGGACCTCCGCGTGGCCTTGCAGAACGAGCAGAGGCCATGACAGGGCAGCCTGGGCCCGCGATGTCCGGATGCTTCAACTGTTGTCAGATGTGCTTCGTGGGCTGCAGACGTCGATTCTTGCTGAGATGTCTCCCCGTGCAGGAAAAATGCGGAGCTCCAGCAGAAGTGTGAGGAGCCGGTTTGGAAGAAAGCTCCTTTAGCTTCCCTCACGTTTATTAGCCTTGATTTCCATGCCGTGGCATAATTTGAGACCCGTCGCAAAAAGCAGAGTCCTTTCTGTTTCTTTAAAGGAGGCCGTCGAGTTCTGCAAAGAGCTCGGCCAGGACAGATCTCTTAGCAGCGCCTCGAGCCGCGGCCCCGCGGCCCCACGGCCCATGCACTTTCGAGGACAGCGAGAAGCTGCAGGCGAGCATGGCGAAAGTCGCTGGCGATCTGCTGCAGGTGGGAGAGACAGAGAGACAGAGAGAGAGAGAGAGAGAGAGGAAGGGTGAGACCCACACACTGCATATAATGCGAGCATAAGGCCCATATACACCCCCAAGAAAGCAAAGTGTCACCCTGGCGCGAAAGAGAGAGAGAGAGAGAGAGAGAGAGAGAGAGCACGCCGGAACCGGAAAGGCGCTTCATTTTCTCGTCGCAGCTCGAGCATTGCCGGAAGGCCAAGAACGAGCTCGAAGTGCTCAGAAGACAACGCCACGAAGCGCGCGTGCACCGTAAGCAGGCAGGGATCAGAGGACCAGACGTCGAATTGCAGACTGATTGCCTACAGTCCGATGCGCATCGCAGTGCTTCGCCTTGAGAGCCCATGCAGCAGCGTTCCCAAGCGCAGGCCAAGCTCCAGCGGCAGCAAGCGGAGCGTCTGGCAGCAGAGGCGCTCGCCGCAAGTGTCAGCTGATCCATACCTTCGCAGAAGTGGCCTCTGGCTTTTTTTGGGTCATTACTTTGGAGACACGCTGAAGCGTTCAGCGTGCAGCCATGCTGTCGTGCAGCCGCGTCTTCTAGTGTCAGCTCGTCTACTAGGTCCTCGAGACTGGAACTTGAGAGAGGTGGACTCCGACAGAGCCGTTGCACGGGTTTTGTTGACAGCCACTGGCGAGGTTCAGTCGGACTTGGCCGGAGCGGAGGCCTGCTGCATTTGGCATATTTTGGCTTCGCAGCGCCGGCGACAACTGCTGCTCCAGTCCATGTGGGCGCGTCTCTGCAACGCCATGAGATGGGCATGCGGTATGCCCAATGCCCAACGTACGGGCGTTTTGTAGCAACTGCAGCGGTGATCGTCACAAGGCTAATGCGTGTCCTGGCCGATAGCTGAATATAGGTCCAAGTTATGACTTAAAGCCAGATCTCGAGCAGTGCTTTTCCTGTTCCATGCGCTGCATGCAGATGTGATTCTTTGGCACAGTGCACTGCAGATTCCCGGTGGGGTCGTGGCCCCCGTGGAGGTTGTGGACGACGATGAGGTTCCAGGGTTTGCTTCGATGATTTTGTGGGCCCGACCCTGGCTCTAAACTAGATGTTGGCGCGAGTGCGCAGCCGCGGAGCAGACCTGAGCAGCGTCCTGGGACATGCATGTTGTTGCTGTACGTATCTCGTCTTGTCTGCTTTTTGAAGTTTCAAGCTGCGAAAAGGCGCAGATCTAGTTGTTTTGGGCATGCCTGGGGAGGAGCCTTTGCGGCATCCACCGCCTGTTGCGAACTCAGACTGCTCGGTGGATTCAGCTTCAAGGGACCCAGGGTGGAAGAGCAGGGCAGGTCTTGGCAGGTTCTTTCTTGAGCTGGGATGCCTAAAAGCTGAAAGTGGAAGAAAGGGGAAAGCCGCGGCTCACGGTTCAACGGGGGCAATCAAGTTCTCCGTTCTGCGCTCAGGTTCGAGAAAAGGACTCTCCGACGTGGCGGGGATTTTCATGTTGAGTTGCCAGTGGCAGATTGCCGGCTTCGGGTGTGTGGTTCGATTTTTGCCCTCAGCTTTGAGCAGATGTGAGTTTCGATAGTGGGTGTTCCGGCCGGCAGAGACAGACAGTGAATGCCATATAAACATGGCCTTTCCCCTCCCTTTCGCGTGTAGGCCAACACACCTAACTAAGCCCGCACTCAGAGCAATCTCACCTTCGTGCGCGGTCGGGAAACCTGACCTCAGGACTTTTCTCAAGATCCACGAGCGAATCTAATCGGCGCAACCTTGAATTGAAGCTCCAAGACAAGAAATGGAGAAGACATTCTGCTGTGTCCAACAACAAGGACATTTACACTCGAGGCTGATTGACGTGGCGGCGAGAATAGTCATACGTAGCAGGGCCGGTACTACTTTCATACAGCAGTTCAGGTTGTGAAACAGCAATTGGAGTCTTGTCTAAGTCTTACTTATTGCAATCGCCGAGCATGATGAGTCAAAGAACTTCTTTGATTTCGGGTTTGTCCGCACCGGGTGCTGGTTCTTCATCTAGCCCGTTGATAAGTTATGCAGTGCAAGCCGTCGCATCGCCGTGGGCCGTCTTGTTTTGTGCATTGTGCCGCCCTGGTTTCTTTCTTGCGTGGTTCTGTTGGCTTAGTTTCCTTTCTTTCCTTAACACTTCCCGGGATGTTCAAGCTTTTGTGGGTCGCCGCAGGGCGCATCCATGCCAGTCGTATGTATTGGACATCTGTTGACAGACCTTGAAGACCTTTCAAGCAATTCAACTTGTTTGCTCATCGCACGATTTGCGAGCACCTCTCGGTCTTACTCTCCTCTAATGTCATCTTTGGGACCTTGCTTCGGCAAGTTTCACATCGGCATGCTTCAATGATGCTGAATCCAACGTAGTGTCCACTTCCAGATGCGTTGACGATGCCCAGATCTATGTAAAGCTGGACTCATGGGTTGATTTCAGCTCCGGTTTTCAGGAGGGCGGGGAGAAGGAGAAGAAGTCCAAGAAGAGAAAGGCTCGCGCCGTCCTTTCGTCCGAGCGAGATCGTCCTGGGGGTTCCGCGAGTGGATCAGAGACATTCCTTTCCGCCATGCACTGTCAGACTCTTCGCAAGCTTTTTCGATGCCGCTTGGTCTCTGCCGCTTCAGGCTCAAGGCATGGTCTGAAGGATGCCGCTAAGCGATGCCGCGGCCACTGTCTACACGGTGCTCGTTTGCATCTTGCATGCCGCATGCCTCGGCCGCGGTTTCTATCTGGCGCTGACCAACTGGCGGCAAGTTTGCAGAGTAATTCAGAAGACCTTCGCCGAGCTGCATTGTTGCGCTCGATTTCACGTGGAGGAGAAGTTTTTCATGGAAACGAAAGCCACTGAGCTGCGGCTGCGCGTGGCGCAGATATACACTCATTTGCTTCTGCTGGTTAGCGGACCCTTTATTGCTTGGACCATATGGGTCCCATGGCAGGGTCAGACAATGATGACCGACGCTGTGCGCTGGGCCATCTTAACATTTTTTGGAGCCTCAACTTTGCACTTTATGAGGCCAGGCGTCCTCTCTACAAGCACTGCAAGTGCCTGCTATCTGGGAGGGATGGGAATGGGCCTCGTGGTCATCTATGCAGCCATGGATGAACTCCGTTCACGCGAGTCTGCAGCTGCTGCAGACGTGCATGAAGCGGCCATCGTGCCTCTGATTTTTGCTTTCTTCTTCCGGGTGCAGGACCCAGACTGGGCTTTCAAGTGTAGGGAAGCTGTAGTTGTCTGAGCGCGTGCTTTCCGCTGTCAAACTCTGAAGATCATCTTGAGGTTCCCGGAGTCTGTATGACGGGCCGTCTCTGGCTAATTGTTGTTTGCACCTTGGCACTGCAACGGCACTACTTCTCAACCCGTCCACGTCAGTGCCTCGAGAAAGTCGAAGTACACCTCCTCTCCGGCCCTCAAAGTCGAACCCTTGGCATAATGAACCGTCCCATGCAGTATCCCAAGCCTGTGGTGCAGGCAACATTGCTCTTTCGGTGGATCCTGGGTCCTATTCTTTAGCATTACTTTGACCTTGTTTCTGCTGACCTCGTCAGCAATCCCAACTCCGCAGCCCTGGAGCCACTTCTCCGTGGTAAGACATTGAAGGTGACTCTGGCTGTGTCGCCGCTTCCCTCTGCGGCCCTAGAACTCATGATCAGCCCCTTGTAAAGCAGGCAGAACTTGATTCTGCTGTCGGTGGCTGTCGTGCTCAAGCCTTGGGTGCGGCGGCTGAGGTCTTTTCACTTTCGCAGTGGCCTTTGTGCTGCAAGTCGCCCTCATGAAGGCCTGGAGAACAGGGACCGCAGAGACGGCTATTCTCGCTCGGGCTTCGCTCGCTGCTCTTTCCAGGCCGTGGAACGGGAGATGAACTTCAGCGAGGCCGCCACGGACCTCCAAGCGGCCACGGCTCTCCTGCGCCTCGGCCGCCTCGACTCGCAGAAGACGCCCTGCGCTGTCGTTGCGTCTATCTTTGAGGGGGTAGATCGGTAGATCTTAGATCTCTGTCCTGAGCTTGGAAGGGTTTGGATGACGAGTTAAGGCAGCTGACTTGCGACGCAGTGATAGAGCTCGATGCGACCCTTCGCCTGGTGGAACACTCCGACGACTTAGCAGCGATCCTGCTCCATGGAGAGAAAAGCTTGTAAGTGCGACTTCGGAATACACTGGATCGAAGCGATGCAAGTCTGCCCGAGGCTCCGTCCCGGACTGTCGCTGGCAGGCACGAAGTTTGAAGACTTGCTGGCGGGCCCTGTGCCTCGGCTTTTCTTGCTTTTGCCGCGTGCCACGTGCTTTTTTTCCCGACCTTAAGGAGGAGCGGCGAGCGGCACTCCAGCTTCTGCGCCAACCTCGAACCTCGAAACTGCCCCTTGCCCAAAAGCATTTGCACAGATCGGAATGATCGAAGCTCGCCCCTCTCGATTGCGTAAGTTGTGCACTTGGTCGAGTCAAGAGCTCCTAAGCCTCTTTGTGTTTTATGCCAAGCCGAACTGAAGGTCGTCGAGTATTGTGGCGCAAGCGTTTCGGACGCGCCTCGTGGACAGCTGCGCAAGCAAGTTCAGCTGTGAATCCTTTCACGTGAAGTACCAAAAGCCGGATGGTCGCCTGGCATGAGCGGGTGAAGAGGCCCCATCGGGGTTCCAGATTGCCCGACCGTCCAAAAGGCTTGACGACTAGCATCGGTTTTGTGCATGCTGTCAAGGTAGCTTCGTATAGCAGTGTCGAATCCGAACATCACGTGCACCAGCTGTGGACACCTTCGGATTCGTCGTCGAGTGCGCTGCGTTCCGAAAGAGCCTTCGCCTCAACTCTTTCGTTGCAACAAAGGCAAGACATGCCACCTTGTCGGTTTGCGGGATGTCACCGACCAGGAGTCGCTGGCAAGGCTCGGCCATGCGCCATACTTCAGCTCTAGTAGAGCGGCAAGAAGCACTTCGTGAGCAGGCCGCCAACAAATCCACAAGACGTGAGGGAAGTGGAGCATCCAGGCCATCATGCGCATTTGTCTTGGTCCGGCGGGTACAGAGGGGACTTGGCCCATTTTGGATCATGTTCGCGAGTCTGAGCCACCCGTAGCGGGGTTCCCGGTGTCGGGCCGTGTGGCGAATCAGCAAGAGGGCAGAGTTGGCAAAGCGCGAGGCAAGTCCAGTAAAAGTGAGCAACCTCCGGACAAGATGCCACAGAGACACTCAGAGGCATTGGTCCGAGGGAGTACCGCTACCCAAGATTTTGCTAAGCCACTCCCCGCACATGCACGGAGGGCATCTTGTGGCACCAGCATTTTACGAATCTTACGTATCTTGGGTGTGCTCCGGGTTGTATTTCGATCATCGCCGTCAGTTCGCGTTCGCAAGATGTAAGATCTTGTAGGACAGTCCGCGCGGGTAACAGACGTAAAGTGCCACGCTTTGTCAACAACCCATCTGTAGATTTGGGGGCCGTGTTGCGGAGAGCAGCGTTTACTTTGCGGAGTGCGAGCGGCCAAAGGAGAACTGCCTGGATTGGTGCACAAGCAGTTGCCGGGAGGAACGTGAGTCCATACAATGCAAAGGTTTCAAGCTGATAGAGCTCGTAAAACCGAGTCTGTCCGTTTGACATATGTGTCACATGGCGAGCTTCGGGATTCTCGTTGGACAGAATTTTAACGCTACGCCGCCCGCCTCGGCTCTCCAGTGGCAGGGCGAGGGTGTTGTGTTCGGTCTGGTCAGGCAGAGTTGCAGGGTTTTAGGTGAGCACTTCAACAAAGAACAGAAAGAACAGATTCCAGACTTCTTCCTTGAAGCCTGTATGCGCGCTGTGGACGTGGACGTGGACCCGGATGAAGGGAGGGGAAGGGGCGG